ATATATATATATAAAGCGAAGTCAAGTTCCTCATTGACAGTTCTGTCTGATATTGCTTGGTACTTCTCCTCTGTCACAGTTTTTGACGTATTATGATCAATAGCATTAGGATATATCTTGGTATGCGAGAGGAGCCCACTCTTAACTCACCTGTCACATCGCACATGTTATCAGTTGTTAATGTGTACAACAAGCTGGCAGAGGAAGGATCAAATATCCTAACGAGGCCAGTTCCACGGTAGCCACAGCCAAGCCGAAGCCATGAATAATCCGTGATCTCGCTTGTTTGTCCCTCGATTACGGCGGGTTGCAAGGATACGTGACAAGGGGGGTCACCCGAAACTCGCAAATCGAATAAGGGTAGGTTACGAAGGCAGACGTCCCCAGGAAACTCAGTCTTTGACACTCCGACTTTGCATGTGGAAGACAGGAGCTTCCAAATTTTTATTGATCTGAAATAAATGAATAATAGTGGTCTTGTAAACGACGCAACAAATTCATCTGTTTGTTGTTACAAGTGAACAATCACTTGTGAGTAGTAGTTAGCCTTGCAGAATTTCCATCGCTTCCACTATTTTTCGCAGAAAATCCAGTGTTTTTGATGTATTATTCCGGTTAGTTCAGACGAAAGTTGGATAGATTTGCAATCAACCATTGCTTCCACTGAAGCTCCTTTGGTCGTCCAGGGACTTCAACCTTGGGGCCTACACAAGAAGGGCATGTTTCCCCTACTCCCTTGACGGACCCACATTATCCCATCTGACACTGCGAACTATTTCGCAGTTCAAGCAAAACTCAGTTCCACTGCTCCCTTTCCACTTAGAAAAGACTGAGCAGAGTAAGCACCCCTAGGAACTGAGGAAGGTTGGTTGAATTAGAAGAATTAGGAGTAACTGTCACCAGCAAAAGTCACCTGTTTTTTTATAATAATGCAAGACAATTTCCACTGAATTTAAGGGTTTAGAGTTTATGACAAGTAGGCGGAATTGACGGCTTTGAAGTTAGTGGCAATAATTAACAACGAAAAAGCCAAGTTAAGCTTCTATTTGTCCTCACTTATATGGATGCCAGTATTTACTCGGTTGTCAGTAACGGTCGGAGATCTTTTCTACGCTAGCTTAAAGAAAGGCTTGAACTTGTCGACAGTTCACGACTAACTCCGCCAGTCTAGGGACTCATCAAGGGATTTCTGCCCACCATAGCTTCTACTTGAGTCCAAATTGTGCGCAGTTGGCAAGATAAGTTTTTTTAGCAAACTAATTTGTCTTTCATATTTAAAAACTGTCCTTTTATTTAATCCTTCTTCCATACTGGAGGAGAATGTAGTGGAAGAGTTTTTTGTTCTTATTAGAGAGTGATGTGAACCTAGGCTCTACAGATTCCCAAACCACCTACAACTGATTTGATTTTACGGGAAACTGAACTGAATTCCAGCTGAATCTCTCGCTTACGACATTCTTCATATGAAAATACACTCTCTGGTTCATCTGTAATGAGCAATTTTAAACGTCCCATAAAGGCACATTTTTGTCCGTTGAATGAGTTAGAACTCCGTACATGTTTCAACTGATGTCAAAAGTGGACACCTTCTAGACAAGCAAATTCAAAGGACACACTGAAGTGATGAGGGTCGTAAATACCGTCGGGTCTAGCGCATAAACGGAACATTAACACTCTGCAATGATAGATGCAGTGAACAGATCACATTTCCGTGTAACTCACCCATGCAATGTAGCGATACAGAGAATGGAGCAGGAACCCGAGGGATTGAAGGATACTAGGTCGGTGCTGACAATGGGTCCGTCCAATGGCCAGGATAACAGCCGCATCGGTGTGCAACCTGAAATGACCGGTCGACTCCGATCAAGCTTCGGATAGCCTGACTCTCCACCGCAACAATCTGACGGGTATTCGACTGACAGAATCAGCCCTGCTAATCCACCGGTTTTTGTTGACAAGGCGATGGTAGCGAAAGGTAATCCATCAGTGTCTTTGGACACATCCTGCCGTTCTGAAATAGGTTCGATCAGGGATACTGATAAAGAGCAGATTGGCCCAGCGTACTTAACCTCCAGTTTTGGGGTTGCCGTTGGGCTGAGTTCGTCCCACAATCTGAGGCAACCGTCATCTGACCCCGTGACTAGCCAGCCATGCGGGGTGGGAAAGTCCTGCTGGATCCATGCTAGGTTTGTAAGACCAACACCTGGTTTGCAGTCTGCATACTTTGTCGCCTCTTTGTGGCCTGATAAGTGGTAGATTTTCGCAGAGGATTCTCCTTTATTGCCATCCGGTCGATATTTAATGATTCGATAGAGGTGAAGAACTTCACAGCTGTTGGGATCAAACTGGATAATTCGGAAGATGGTATCAAATATTGAATTTTGAAAATAAATGAAATAACAATAATAATAATAGAATAAATAATAAAATAAACTAGNGTAATAAAAATAATACAGAATAAAAATAATTCTGCACTGAAGGAATGGCCATTAATTGGGGACGAACCAATATTATTGTCTACAGTATCGCAAAATTTTATTCCTGTTTAAAATGGTTATTCAGTACAACAAAAGACCACGTCTGTTTCGCCTACCTAGACTGTACTTCTGAACCTCTGCCATGTCTCCACATAGATCAGCAGAATAATCATAGACCTCCGCAAAAGGTAGCTCCACAGCTGCACAGTCTAGTCAGCATGAACATCCTCATAGAATTCGACGCGAATGAAGTCGAAATGTCTGAACCCATTTATGGAATATTTTTTGTGGTCGATAACGGTGAATTAACACAGCGTTCACACACCGAGGTTTGTATGTGGACGTCTCGGTTACCGTGGGTGACCGGGGGTGAAACATTGAAGGTTCCAATGCTCTGTCCGTTTGTGGATTAACTCAGTACCTACCTTGGATACGTTGTTGAGTTTAAAATATAGGATCATTACTCCAGCTTTTCAGCTTTTGTCCGCACGATCTTTCTTTCCCACGTCGGCATGATATTTCATTTCTTCATTTGGTTTGTATTGACTAAACTACACGGTCGAACCTAGCGGTTCCTCATCAAAAATGTACTGACTACTCACATTTGCATTTAATGTACTGATCGACCAAACCACTGTGATCCTTGCAAGGAAACATTTCAAAGTAGATTCCACAAAAAGTGCTCCACGCCAGATTCATGTAGAGCTTCTCGATTATTTTCGTAATGAGTTCCCCATTCATCTACGCACTATTATTACAATTCGGGGTCACGCTCAAGTTGACCCTCCAGGAGACAGCACTCAGCTTTTTCCGCCCTTTTTAAAAAGGCAAAACCTCTGGCGCTCACTTTGAGAGAAGTTATGGTGAGGAATTTGTGCACGGCCTACTGGTTCAATGAAGGATGTCGTCCGAGATGATAATGACAAATATCTTCCTCGATAACAATACAACACCAAGCTTTGGTGAAAAACAAAGGAAAGAGATCTACGGGAAAAGGCCGTTTCACTAATGAAAATAATCAATAAGGAGACGTTTATGCCCTTGAGCTACACTTTGTCGGAATATGACGCTGTTAGTGGAATTGATCCAGCGTCTCTGCAAGCTACAGTATGCACGAGTCACAGCACGCAAATATTGCACGACAGGCTAGCTAGAAGGTGTCAGGGTGCGAACGATTATTTTCACTGTGACATGACTCACTTGGGATTGAGTCACGAGGGCCCAGGCCAGCTAGAAGGTGTCATGGTGCGTACGATTAGTTTAACTGTGACTGACGTGACTCACTTGGGATTGAGTCACGAGGGCCATTGGATCCCAAAGCATTCCAGCTTATCGTAATAACTTTTGTCCCGCAATGCCATGCCACGACTGCCATCTTTTAAACTATTGTGAGCAAAAGTTTCGAACAAAAACATTTTTTTTTCGGTGAATGACAGTTGATAATGCATACCACCTTCTGAATAATACGGGATCTTCTCGTAATTTCAAGCCAGTCCAGATACCGTCTTAAGCATTATTTCACCGCCGATAGGCAACAGGAAGCTGAAATGCTTTGAGGAATCCGGCGATTTAGTGGCTCAAGGAACCAGCATACAAGTGAGTAATTTTCCGAACCATTCTGGATGTACCCTTGTTCTAACATTGTAAGACTACTCAGAACGCATCTTCGAGAGTTGACCAAGCTTTGTGTTGCAAAACACTGATAACTTTACCGTGAAACTGTTTAGACCAAAGGCAAAAACTGCTCCATGAGTATCCGCAAGTTACGCATGACCTTGGATGATGCCGAAAAATTTCGCGGTTTTTTTACTGGATGAAAATCGTTTCATATTACGACATCAATTACATTAGGATAAAGTATGGTTTCAGCAGAAATGTGAGGAGGGTAATTGGAAAGCCAATCGATCAAGCGTGCGTGGCAAAATCACACTGTATCGAGGCCACGGAATATACGAATCTGTTCCATTTTGAAGCGACACTCGAACAGTACACTCAAAATGACAGCTATTCAACTTGAGCCACGGGACAAACTCAGTCGGACACAAATCCATATTCTGATGTAAAACTTGATTTTGAAGACTGTCATCAACTTTTTGCAATTCTTTGGCAAATTGTACAATTTTAGAACTTATGCACAATCTCTGAAGACAACAATATTTTGTGTGTGGCAACCTTTCTTTGGCGTGGTTGTATATAAATCAGCCTTTGCTGAGAGGATGAGGTCACTCCCGAGTGAAGTCAAAACTCCTGTTGTGAAGTGCTTGCCGTTCTCTACTGGGGTACTGTGTTGTGCACACCGCAAACGCTTTTTTTAAGTTTCCGTTTCACCCATAATTTTTCAAGACACTTATAACACTTTCAAACTATAAACCACAATCTAACAGATCATGGACGATTCATTCCGAGGATGTTCCGGGTTAATCTCAAAGCTTGTGACCTTCTCCCTCCCGGAATATCTTAACTTTACAACGGTGAAGGTTTTCTTTCTTCATGCGATATACATCAAGTCGATGCCTCCCTACACTAAACTCTCTAGTGTTCTGAGTGCATGTGACATTTTGCGGAAGAATATAGCTCACCTCCATTAGATGACCTGTGCTGGAGCACATTATCGCCGAGTAAGAGAGAGTGTACGAAATTTCACCGTTTTCTCGGTTGCACTGCCCTTTTCCAGGCTTTAGACAACAGTCAGTGAAATTTAAATCTGAGGGTGTATGAGCCTCTCTGAGCAACGTGAACTGAGCAGAGCGAAAAGACCTTCTGGTTTTTGCGTTTAGATCCAATGTTTGTTGGTCAATACTTTCCTGTAGGTTCCAGATACACAACCCGGATTCTGTTCGATTAGGTTTTGATTCAAACCGTTGGCTTTCTGCTTCCCTGCAAAATTCAAAGCCTTCCGTAGTCATGAAGCGCAAGACAACACCAGTCTTGTTTCGTTCACTTTCACTTGTCAGAGGCAAAGGGATTAATTGTCGGGGTCGGAATCCCGTGAATGTGTAGGTAACCAGTGGTAAAACCGCGGTTTCCGCAACGGCCTGTAATATAAGGAAATACAGCAAGATAATGTATTCAGTATAAGATGCCAGGGAAAACAAAATAATCAGATGCGTGAATAATCGACTCGGCGGATGAAAGCACATATGGCTCCGTGTACAGCAGCGTGCAAATGTTTCCTTCCTATTCCTCAGCAACAGGTTTTACCCAGTACTGAAACGACCTTCGAAATAGTTCAAAGTGCATTAGTACATCGACTAAAAATGGTATTTTCTGGTAACCACACTGAGGACAATTAACCAAAAGAGTTTGTGATGATGTTAACGGGACGCTCAGCTGAATCCTAGCTGAATTTCCCACAGCTGAACCTGTTTCACAGCGGCTACCTGATATTACATTTGATACGGTATTCGAGATATTGATTTTATTTCCTCAATACAAAATTGCTTATACTAGTGGCGTAAAGTTGCCCTACTTATGGATCATAAATTAGACCCGGTCCCTCGATTCCCATCAGTTTTATTTTTTGCTTGAAAACCAAACTGTATGTTTAGTTGTGATAAACACATTTTTAATTGTGTTTGTTGATAGAAAGACCATCAGAGCACCATCTGAATCACCGGTTATGGTAAACAGTGTTTCTTGTCAAGAAAGTCGATGCCTCGAATCTCGTGCCAACTAAAACGTGAGACAGTATTTGTGCAGTACTTTGACTGAAGAACATCATAAATGAGAGATTAAACCAACACGGCTGTAGTTGGCACCGGCTTGTACTTCGTCAAAGGCTTACAATTTGGTATCTGGGTAGAACATAAGGCTTACAGAAACTGGAATACGATGCTCACCTATTGAGCTTCAAGTACGACAAAACTAGCAGTGGCCAATCGAAATGTCTTTAGTAAACTTGAGAAGTGGTTCACCGGGAAAATGTACCGCTAAAGATTATCATAAACGAGAAACATAGTAACTATTTACCGGAATGCCTCGTTGATAAAAACCTAATACGAGTGAGCATATGTTACCAACTATGTGGCAATTGGGCTCAGTTAGGATGTAAGGTTCACGGACTAGAACAGTTTGATAAGCCACAAAAAAGTAAAAACCACTAGCTGTCTAGCAAGGAGATTTCTCCCCAATCTGAATGCCGTACGGAGGAAATGTCTGGGAATAATTTACTGTTACTGCAGGCCTTCGAACAAATACCCTAGAAAGGATCGAGTAAAGTGTGAGATGCTCCATTCACTCCACCAACTGTTCTTCCCATCCCCGTTTCCTGGCTAAATTAAGACGTTCAGCTTCGCAGTAGATACCACTCAAAGTGGTGTTCACCGAATCTATTATCCGTTTTAATTTGGTATGCACAGAACTCTGAAAAGGCTGTACAAAGTTACATGCTGACAGAATGCGAAGCAAAAATAAGGTAGCTTTTCCACTGGACGCACAGCGCACTTGGATCGATTCAGTGACACTTTACGGTCAAAACTACCGCTTTCGGCATAGCAAGTAGCGCCAGCTGATGATCTGTTACGATGTGATCAACAGAATTGTTCGCTGGAGCCAGTTAGAAGGCAGCATATGAATTCCCATTTGCGTTCATTTCATACGCGATTTCATTGTAGCTATAAGGGATCGAAGCACATCAAATAGTCTAGCTAAATCCCCATTTTGGTGCCTAACTGCCATGTTACCCGAAGGAAGCACGAGAGCTGAGTTTAGAGAGGGTTGGTCGAGATGCCTCGATGGTACGAACTAGAGATCTTCTGGTCGGTAAGTTCAGTCCTCACCACTGAGCTTTCGTGGTTACTGAGCCATCTCGGCTTCTATCTACAAGGAGACAGCAATGGCTTTTACGTGATCATAGAAGATTGAAACTTTTGATCGTTCTCTTGATCACTCACCAATGGAACCAAGGGCCGTCATTATCCCCGTACAGTGAATAACCCGAAAGTAAGTACATAGAAAATACAACAGGCGTGAGATGTTTAGCGTTTTTAACTCAAAAACAAGAGGGAGCCATCCAATCTGCTAGAATGCACATTGTCTACGAATCCAGGTCGTTACAATGCCCTATCTCATGGGATCGGAGCTGAAAGAATCCGATGCTGGGAAGTAATCAAAAGCGAGATTTTGAGTATTGGGAGGGGTTGCCTCAGAGGAAGAATAAAGTCTCGGTGGCTAAATCCAAACCAGGTTATTCTTCCTCATTTGGGTTCCTTCTTTTTTATTACATAATTATGTGGTAAAACAAGCTAGAAATATCACTTTGGACTGCTACACCAGAACAAGCACCATACTACTAAGGTTGCTGGTAACCCTGCAGCAGTCCAACACCTTTTGGGGTAGCAGAGTAATTTGAGAATATGTATACTCACTCACTAAGCTTGTCGAGATTTGTCTTTTCGTTACGTGCCAAGTTCTTTGCTTAGTAATCTGGACTTTTTTCCTTGTCAGGATTTTTCAGCAGCTCAGGTTCCAGGTCCAAGGTCAAAGTAACCATGGGCCAACCAGACAGCCGAACAAACGCATTTAACCTCTACTCCATCAGCATGTTTGCTCAAGGTTTCTTTGAACATTAATAGAGCTGGATGGGCTGGCAGTTGGTTGACCTTTGTAGGTTGGATAATCGAAACTCTTGCTGCATATGGGTTGAAAGCGCACCTGTTTTATGAGTAGTAAGACAGTGAATCACTATATGTTCTTATAAGCTTGATTCTCACATTACGGTTAACCGTCTGCACCAGAGTCGGTTTCGCATAGTGGAAATGTGATTCCTATTTACCAGATAGAAAATTGCAGTGCTCCTTTCACACAGTGCATACTCTGACCGCCGACATGAATGGGGCTTTTCTTGGAAATGTACAATCCTTGAGGGCACATGCATTTTTGATGCACCGTTAGGAAAGGCAGTTTTCGAAGCGACCCCATTTGCAGCGATATCTCAAGTCTGTTTGAAGTAAAGGCCAAGTTCAGGTCTTCATAAGGAAGTACTTCTGTGAAGTCCTGCGGAGACAGTTTCAGGAGGTACCTCCAGTCACCAATAGTTGTACTGTATTGATTTTACTGTAAACACTAGTCTTTCACACACTGAGTGGGTAAATCGCGTTATAGACAAACAAAACAACAGGTTTTGAACACAAAGCCGTTATTGTCACATCAGCCGGCTACAATGCCATAGTTCTGAGTAGATGATGATATATTCAAAAAGGATAATTCTCAATAGAGATGCTGACTTCTTGGGAGCAACTCTCAATGGGGAGAACCTAACCAGTGTAATGCAAGTGGATGACATCCTCATTGTCAGCTGTAATAACCACGTATTTGTCGTACAGTGATTGTAGCTGCCACAGTTTGGTTCACCGATGATTCGGGGAGATGGGGATGTCAGTTCGAAACACTTCATTCTCTTTTCGAAACAAGACAGAGAACACTCTCTTTGCGGGAGAGGGGCAGCACTTTATTACTGTATGTTTAGTAAATTACTTGCACACTGGAAATGCTTTCTTACTTTCAGTCGGTTCGACCAGCTCAGAAAAATCATTCAAATAGTCGTAAATTGGGAAAATCATCGTAGATTTATTATTTAGGTGTGGTTAAATCCCAACTTTCTAATCGTGCTCTAATAGTCGGACAGCTGTTTGACTTAGCCAACACCCGGTTGAGTAAAGAATTACATCAAAAATCGATTTCACTAGAAGTGCAATCTGGTCGATAGATACCTGGCCTATATACATCACCTTCAAGCACAAAACTAAATGGTCACGTGCAACCCACCTTCACCAGACTGATGGGTCTCAAAGAAGACCAATGAGATAGTATTGTTGAACTTTCCGGAAACGACAGATTCACTGATCCGAACTTGCTGCGTACTGCTAATGACTTCCAATAGAGTAATAAAGCTACTGCTCAATGCTGTTTTCGATAATTATCGTTAAAAGATCCAAAATCTTTTGGCATTATGAAAATGTACAAGTAACACAAGGGAAGAATAATTCACAAATCGCGTAAAACGTTCCTCCGACACCTAGAGAGCCACCTAGAGTCACCTAGAGAGCCAGTGAACATGCAATCACGTGACTTGCGAGTTGACTAAAATACTGATTGGCCACTCGTAACCAACCTAATCCTCATTTACTAGTCTGGTAGTTACGAGTTCGAGTCTTTCCGGAGTTCCGTGCGCTGCACATCCTTGATGATCCCTAATAAAGTTGAAACGGTTGTAGAGTGTTTTTAGGCAATTCCACATTGGTTGACTTCACTCTAGGGGGAAAACTATGATTGAGGAAACCCCACTTCCTTGATTCTGACTCCGATCTACTTTGACTGTTAAAAATGTCAGCTGGCGGTTTTCTCTTCTGTCGCTGGAAGGTCAGTCAGATTCACCCGAATTTTTTTCACCTAGTGGAAACAAATGCCGAAAAACTGGTGCCTACGTCAGTAGACGAACTATGTAGGGTATAGTCTAGAAAAAATCAGTTTTCAATAGGTAGGCTCCATCTCACAGTCACCATGCAAGTATTTCATATGAAATTTCATTGAAGCTCACTCACCTTTGCATTCCAAACAACGATCATTGCGCTTCCTGCGTGATCGCATCCGTGGGCGAGTAGAAATTCGGCGTTTTCAGAAAGTGCAACGCCGTTAAATGTTCTGACGGATTCCATTCGGCCTGTGCCTATTGGTCGATGTGTGGGGTTAGAGGCTGTCTTGTCGGGTAAACGCCAAAGGTGTACAACTCCCACTTCGCAGGTATATGACGTCGGCGGGGCTGACTGTGAGGAAGCCAACAATCGCGTTGCTGGATCGATGGCTAGCCCAGTAACAACATCGGTGTGACCTGTGTAGGAATTGAAAGAAAACGGTCCTCTAATATGTGCCGAAAAGTGCATGGAAACACATGTGCCGATGGTAGCGTTCCACACTAGTGCAGAGATTCAAGATGTCAGGAAGAATCATTCAAAATATGTTTTGAACTAAATGAAACTCTGTCGCGTGTCTTCAACGACCGGACAGATTTCTTTTTCCCATGTGCCAAAACTGAAGAGATCTATTATTTTTTTAAAATCTAACCTTTCCAGGTTCCAGAGACCTGAACAACTGTTGAGCATTCCCAACATTCGTTCTTCCAACATATTACACTTATAATCAGCCGTCGACCATAAGCAAAGTATGTTTGGTTGCAAAGGAAACATTTTTGAAATTTGAGCGAATGAACAATCCATTCAGAAAAAGAAGCAACTCGGACAACGTGACGTGTGCTTTTATCCAAGAAACCATCATTCGGAGCAGTTGTCAACGCCATATCTCTGGAGGTGAACTGCTTGATGACAAAACAAACTGTCTTGCATCTTGACCAATTGAAGTTTAGTCACACCAGTAAAGAGCAAGGGCCAACACGGCGCGTTAGTTCTTAGTATTCGACAGACAGACTTCATGTAAAGTGAATCTTCTTGGGGGAAAACACAGATGGTTGAAACTTTGACAAAAAGCTCGGAAATTGTCAGTCAGTCAATCTGGCTGACGTTTGTCACCTAAAACGCAACAACATAAATCTCTTTCAGCCGGTAATTTTCAATCTGTTGTACGGCGTCACAAGAATAGAGTTATCCGTTTTTTGCTATAAATACTAATTTGGCCGTTAAAATGATGTTGACAAGAGAATCATCCAAAATTCGCCTGAATTTACTATGATCAACTTAATCACAATACAATGTTTAAGTTGATGGAATGTCAGTGACTAGGCCCAGCTGATAACTTTCTAAGTAGGACTTGACCGATCGTGTTTTCAGTGACCTCACAAACTTTGTCGAAAATCTGCCCCTACTTTTGCCTGGGCTTCAGAACGGTTCCACAGAAATTCTAAGACTCAATAAAACTTAGGTTTGTAAAAAAATACACTGGTTTCTCTGTGGAAGAAAACCAAACCAAGTAGAAAATTGTTGCACACCACAGCATGTTTTCCTGCACACATAAGACGCTTAGGAACCATCATGGGGGCGAGATGGCCCAAGTGGTTAGAGCGCGAATTTACTGACCGGAAGGTCCGTGGTTCGAATCCGACCTCCGCCACTCGACTTCCCCTGTCTAGGCTTGGGCAACCTGGCAGTATCCCAGCCCTCGTGCTTCCTTCGGGTGGCATGGCAGCTAGGCACCGGAAGGGTGCTACAGCTGAACGCTAGGAACCATCATGAAGATAGACAGATAAAACGTTAAATCACAGTCTTGACAATTCTTACCAGGGCATCAATTGCTGATGTCAGCAGAATCCCAAGACACCTACATAAAATTGGGGACAATGCGGTTAAGGGTGGAATTTGAAGTTATTCTACTGGACGATCGGTGTCATTCGACAGGCATGATTTTTCCAACTGGGTCCGTCTCAACACACCATGCCAGAGGTTTAAACTCTCCGTACACGATCGCAAACAAGATCGCTAAGTACAGACTAGTCCTTTCCATGGTGTGATGAGTTGTGCACCGCACTGACCAACTAAGCCTTCCAAGAGACTATCCGTGTGACCAACACAGGGTGTTTAACGAATACAGGTGAGACTAACAGTCCCACGACCCTCCAGGTTGGAAGCTGGGACATTTGTAGTGACATGTTGTGATGGTCGTACCCGACCACTGCTGCCCCAAAACCAGGCTTCTGAGCCGAACTGTTTGGTCTGCGCACCCTGGTGTTATTCCAATCTACATAAAACCATAAACTGAACACATTTCAGAGCTCGCGGAAGGCGGACCATAGAGTAAAAAGGTGAAATGAAGGCAGTCAAGTAGATCACTGTTGTATATTAGCACCATACTGTGTGAGGGCCTCTTGCGCATGGTTATAAACTCTACAATGACCGGTCCCAGTAGCAAGATTTCTATTACTTCCTAGCCGGATTGTCTAAGTGACAATTGTCAGTAGTTGTGTGTTGGAATTCTGTTAAGTGAGACCAACAAAGTTGATGGATCAAGCTTGCCCATAACTACACAGTCCAAATTGTTGCTTTGTTTTTTGGCTACCTTCTGAGGAAACAGCAATATCTGACAGCCATAGAATCACGTGATTTATCTATCTAAGTAGACCTGATGAGCTGATTTTAAGGAGAAGGTATGAACTGTTCAATGCACTGGGGAAATGAAGTCATGGAAGGGTTTCCAAGAATTGCTTCCAGCAAATTATTCAACTCAAGCTACGAGACTCCATCTATTACTTGGACGTCGGCATGTATTCATAATGGTCAGAAACAATATGATGGCCTACTAATTCAGAATTCCTTTGAAACCTTGTCTGTGAAACGGTAAGCCTAGTTAGTAAATCTAGTAATTCAACAGGTATGAGGTGCGTGCTAACTTTTCCCACTTAGATACCTGATATGGTTGGACCTAAACAATTCTGTTATCTAAATGGAGTCCGGAGAGGCATCAATCTAATCATTCCAAACCGATTAGCATCCACTGGCAAATGTATCCGTTCAAGTGAACTAATAACCTCAGGAGAGTAAAGAACACAAGTGTGCTTACCCAAGAGATGTTGCTGCCGTTTGCTGCGAATATCCATCAGTACAATGATTGCCTCACAGGCAAAAACAAGCACCTCGCCATCCGGTGTGAGTAAAAGTTCCGTGCAAGGTGAGGGACAGGAAAGCACATGAGACAGTTTCAAGCTGGTTGGCTCGACATGATACATATCTGATAAATAGGATTTCTTCTGACTGAGCGACACTGAGTTGGATACACTATCAAGCAAACCAGTATGATGGCCGTTTTGATTCTGCGGAGTCACAACTGGATCGCGGTTCATAATTGGAATCTGTAAAAAAGCAGACACTCATTTTGTTATGCCACCATAAATGTGCACAGAATAAACCGAAAATACGGCGAAACTAAGGAGACAACTTTTATATCCCTCCAGTTTAGAATTCGCCGCATTGATAGCACAGCTAGAAATACAAAATCAAAACCCCAGCAAGTATGGATAACATACTTTTGTTCAAAACTGTGCCCTTACTTGAAATCCTAAAATATATGTGGAACTTTGTACGCTTTAACTACAGCAACCTTGGAGTACTAGGAGTAGAACAAAAATATCTGTCTATACCTTTTGAAGTAAATGCCAGTTTCAGATTCCGGAATGAGCATTACAAATGGAGTAAATATGCTGCCATGGGAGGTCTGCTTGGTCCCTCCCTGGCGGATGTTTTCATGGCAAGCATTGGAATGCTATTCGAAGATCTAATTAGATAGGAAAACTCCAAAATATGCAGATAATATTTTTGTGGTCCCAAATTAAGAGCAAGGGACATTGTCAATGTACCAGCTGTTGAGCGCCGCTTATATGAATGTCAGATTAAAAACTTGGATAAACCTGTATTTCTAGATATCCAACTGATTCGCCAGCCAATGACACAATTCATAGGTCAGTTGGCTGAAAATATACTTGAATCGTTTGGCACCTCGACTGCTTCAGTTTTATGCCAATAGAGCGCCACACAACACGGCAAGAAGAAACACGCGGATGATGTCATCGACACAAAACCTTAATATGTGGATGCCTTTCAAAACTTGTGAGAAAGTAGTTGGCCTGAAGAAGGTACGAATCCTAAAAGGTGGAAGTCAGCCTAAACTTGAAGTTAATAACAGCCGACACATGTGAGCAACTAGAGTCACTTAACCTTGGCTACTAAATGCACACACTGCGCAGCCCCTTCAGTCAAAGTTCCAGTACCTTACAACGATATCTTGTTTAAAGTCTGGTGCTAGGATGCTCGACATCCTAGCTTCACAGAACTTAAAAGGAGCTCCAAATTAGGCATATGGCAATCATCCTCACTTGGGTGCAGTGACCTCTGAGTCAGTCCGTTCTGGCACCCTCTATGGCACATTGAATTCATAGGTTAGTGCCTGTCGACAACTCATCATTTGCCTAAAAGTGGGCGCTGCGTCTATCCGGTAGCCGTGTTTCTGATCGTGTACAAAACCACACACGCCAAGGCGTTCCAGTTTGCTGAATCCCTGCTATAGAAAGATAATCAAGGCTATGTTAAAAGAAGAAATGGTTCGTATCTTTAGCACTTTCCCAATGAGTGACCCGGTTTAAAATCTCGACGGTAAACACTTTTGTTCTCCCTTGTATTTTGTCTTAAATTGTTCCGTATTACACATCCAAAGCGGTATAGATAGACAAACCCAGTGTGTCATGCAAAATCTGTCTTCTATATGAATACCTTACGTTTTTAACGAAAATATTGCATTTCAAAAACAATGCTTCTTACCTTTTGAGAAAATTAGCAATAATAGAGCAGTCTCCCTGTTTTGCCGCTACAGGAGAACTCTGTCACGGGAAAAAAAGAAAATAGAAAACCTCATAAATGGACACCAAACTTTTGGCGTTGTTAGCCGTATGATTGATTAAAGTGGAAAGTTACCCTCCGAACTCAGCAAGAGGTAAGACAAGTTTGTGAGATAGTTGTTGCATTTCTGGACACTTAGTGAAGAGATGAAGGGAAAATAAGTTTAGCCCAAACGGGACGCCTCCAATATATATCAGCAACACTGATTAGATGAAAGGCAATGAAAACAATAAGGACAATTTATAAACGGGTGTTTGGTTGCTACCTTTAAAGAAACAAATTGTATATAGTTATGCTAAATTACCCGGTAAACGTGTATTTGTAGCGCTATCAGTAGGGCCATACCGACAGCGGCCTTTTGTTTACTGCTTTTTCGAAGCATTGGCTTTGGAGACATAATCCAAAATGTTCAGCTGAGTCCAACAAACAACCTTTCTCATAGGGGTTGGTAGGGGAGCTTTTGATGACTTTAAAACAACTGCAACTGACCGATAGAATGAGAAGTAGAGCAACAAATTTCCAGATTTAGTTGTCAGTTATGCTCATAACAGCGCGAATATCTAAACTAAATAAAAATGTGTAGCAGCTTTCCTTTGATCTTGGTCAAATTCTTCGACAATATGTAGCAAACCACCGGCAAAAAGGTGTGATTCAGAGAGAACACATATTTAAGANAGTGGAAAGTTACCCTCCGAACTCAGCAAGAGGTAAGACAAGTTTGTGAGATAGTTGGTGCATTTCTGGACACTCAGTGAAGAGATGAAGGGGAAATAAGTTTAGCCCTAAGGGACGCCTCCAATACATATCAGCAACGCTGATTAGATGAATGGCAATGAAAACAACAAGGACAATTTACAAACGGGTGTTTGGTTGCTCCCTTTAAAGAAACAAATTGCATAAAGGTATGCTGAATTGCCCGGTAAACGTGTATTTGTAGCGCTATCAGTAGGGCCATACCGACAGCAGTCTCCTGTTCACTGCTTTTTCGAAGCATTGGCTTTGGAGACATAATCCAAAATGTTCAGCTGAGTCCAACAAACAACCTTTCTCATAGGGGTTGGTAGGGGAGCTTTTGATGACTTTAAAACAACTGCAACTGACCGATAGAATGAAGTAGAGCACTGGGACAAATTTCCAGATTTAGTTGTCAGTTATGCTCATAACAGCGCGAATATCTAAACTAAATAAAAATGTGTAGCAGCTTTCCTTTGATCTTGGTCTAATTCTTCGACATTATTTGGCAAACCACTGACAAAAAGGTGTGATTCAGAGAGGACACATATTTAATTAAGTCAACTGCAACCGTTGAGCAACACGAAACAACAAGCGAATCCTAGAGAAAGCGCAGCAAGCTGTGAGTATCCTGAGAGTTGGCAATCATTCATGGTAAATATTACGGGTCTATTTATTTAAAGTCCTTTTATGTGCCTCAAAATGATTCCTGTAGGCATATAAAACTTTATTACGAAGGATCTATTCAATGGTTGTACGCGTTGGATTTATATTACCTCCACTGAATATATGGACAATGGTCAGTCAGTCGGACAAATTTAAACTACTCATCCTCTGATTAGTAAAATGTTTCTAGTAAATTATCGCGTGTTCAGAGCAAAAAATATGTTTTCGAGAAGTACACTCACTTGCAAATCAGCAACCTTGTGAGTAGTTGCGATATCTCGAATATCATACCAACTGAAGCACCAGGCGGTCTATGTGCAGCACATTCAGTTGTAGAATACCATAAACGAGGGATTCAGTTGAGTCTCTTGTGAAAACCAAATTGATTTGCAAATGAGTGTATTCCTCGAAACCAGTGCGATTCGGGTTCAAGTAGAACATAAGGTTGGTGGAAACTCGGGGACTGCGCCTAGCTGATGAGCCCCAAGAAGAGCGAAACCGGTCGTGGGCTGTCGAAGAGTTTTCAGCAACCTTGTGAGTAGTTTCCTTCATGAAAAATGTTATTTCAAGAGTATTGCGTCCGGTTATCCTGACGGCCAAATAAACATGTGATAATAATAGCATTTATTATACCTCCAATTTAACGTCGTAACCCGCTATTAAATAAGAGCTCTTCGCTTTAGGTGTTTGAAAGCTCGCAAAAATATGTCCTGAAAGTTTACCTTTTACCAATGCCCAATCAAGATCGACCTGTATAAATAGAGACTGGAAACGCCGCTTTACTTTTCCGTTTATCCATTTTACTTTGATTTCAAGAATACTCCTTTCGGTCACATGCCTCATATGAAATTCTTAGCTATAGCCATATAGTTACTAAATATTTCGACAGCAACATTTTACTTTGATTTCAAGAATACTCCTTCCGGCCACAGGCCTCATATGAAATTCTTAGCTATAGCGATATAGTTATTAAATATGTCGACAATAACCAACTACAAATTAAAAGTCTATCCATTATTATGTGCTAATTCTTGCATGAAATGCGTGAAGAGATCTTTGCGTGGTTTGCCCATGCGATGAAGTTTGGTATGTGTGGTGTCATTTCCAGTAAAACGCAGCTTCAAAATCCTGCATTACGAACAAACATTGCCTTTCGGGCTATCGTGGGCTAGATTATTGATAAAATTCTACAGATTCATTCCAAATTTTCCGAGTAGGGAAACTGTGGATTTTATATCCTACTGTGTAGTTTTGTGAAAGTCAGCCTTGTATATTTACTCAAAAGTGAAAACAAGGCACTGCTTGAACTATTGTTTATAGATAGCCGTTATCCAAGATGTCACCAATGTCGGGTTCGATAAGCGTGGAGCTTTGTTTTCTGTTCCAAAAGTTCGGCAAGAAATGAACGGTGGCCACATTGTATGTATACAGTTTGTATGATGTTTCCAAATGTACCTCCTTGGTGGCAGCTTGGATAACATGACTAATCACGACTTCGAACGTCGACTGAAATCTCAGCTGCGAAGACTTTGGATATAATGTAGTGTTGAGACATTGCCTACAATTGCTAAATTATCCACCACAATGCACAGCATCTTCAAAATGACATCAGTCAGTCCGACATTTTGTTACTTTTAAAAAAGCCACAGAATTAAGCTGTTTGCCGAGACACATAACCGCAGTGCGTTGAGAAACATCACATTGTATGTAGCCAACTACATTTTCTGCAACACTTCAAAAAAGTGCTTTCTAACCTCACCACACAAATTAATGATACCTACATGTCTCTGCTTAAGCTAACTGTAGATCGCTTGAAAAACCTAACCCTCGGTTGGTAACCAGACAGCTAGGAATAAATGAGAAAACCAGCAGGAAAAACGATGGGCGTATATCATAGTTATTCAACAAAATTCAGAAGAAGAGGCATTAAGAAGGTTTAGGGAACATACAACCGATTTTCGGCCGTTCGTTCAATTAACTACAAAAACGAACAAGCTTCACATCTGACCCCATTTGCCTCCATGACATTGTCATTCCAATATGCTGAAACTTT